AATGAGCTGGGTGCTCCCAGTTCCCGAGGCCCTCCAGGCACTTAGTTGCTTCAGGAACAATGTTCTCTCTTAAATCACTGAAGGAATATCCAGGGCAAAGTAGGACACTAAATCTTAGCAATTAGAATCAACATCTTAGACCTTCCTAGTTCCTGTCTCTCTTGGGTGGCTTTTTCAGCCACCAAACGATACTGTTTTCACCTTCCTTTTCCCTCAACACTAGCTCTGCATGTTTCATTAAAACCATTTAGATCTTGGTTACTTAAAATTTCAAGAATAAAATTGGTGACAAGAGAGGAGGTTAGGAAGCCAACACAGAATCATCAACTTGTGATGTGACCAACTGAGGACATCTGAAGAAAGGCCACTGCCATCTGCTATTGCCATCCCTCCTCTAAACCGGGCGCCCAGTGACCCGGCCTCGAGGGCTCTCTGGAGCATGCGCATCTTTCCCTCCTTCCTCCAGGCGCTTTCTTTTCCTCTTTCTCCTTGGCTCCAAGGGCCCTTCCTTGGCCTCTGTAACTTGTTTCGTGAGTCCATGCAGCCCAGCTGGCTCCCTTCTTCTACGGCTCACTTCTACCTCTGTGACTTTCTAAATAAACTTTCACTTGTATTTGAAAAAAATGAAAAACATTTACCCTACCCTCCAAGAAACTATTTAGAAAGACATAATCTCCAAATAAAAAGTCTCCCCCCCACCCCCCCCCGCCATCCCCCCGAGAGTCAACTGTTGGTAATTTACTTGGGTGTAGACAAGTATTTATACATTTACCCCTTAGTTTTCTCATTTCACTGCAGATTGGTGAAAACTCCGCCCCAAACCACAATTTGGAACTCAGACCATAAGAAGGTGTAACAGGGTGGGGTGGTGTCAGCCCTGAGCTATTTGGAGAAAGGCCTTTTGCTTTCACTTGTTTATGATAACTTTATTGGGTGTTCCTTGTTCCTAAGGTTCAAAGTCCAGGTCTTACTATTTACATTTTCTGCCTGGGAGTAATGTTTGCAAATAAAGACAGGAGGATGCTGCGCTGATAATAATCCAGACCCTGACTTTGCAGGCACCAGCAGTTTTTGCTTCTTTCTTGAATAAAAGAAAGGAAGGAGGCCCAGGCAAGCTGCCCTTCCTGGTCCATTTCTCTGGCCAATCTAAAGTTTCCCTCACTATCTCCTCCCCTAGGGCTCTGCATTCTCCCAGCGGCTCAATCATTAAGGTAGACTGCAGACAGTCCCAGGTAGACAAATATTCTTGGCAAACTTCCCAATGCTGTGGATAAAAAGGGGGTGCTGTACAGAACCACAGATTCCTGACTGGGCAGGCCATGGTGGGTAGCACCCTCAGGCCTGTAACTTCTTCAGTGAAAGGTTTTTAAGCCAGCCCTGCCAGTTGTTCTTGAGCATCGAGATTACTGCACCTTTAAAATGCCGGGTTAACATCCCTTGAGAGAGCACCTAATGTTAACTAGCCTGGAATCTAATCCCCACCTTGCTTTCTTTCACCTCCACGTAATATTCCCATGTTCCTACCTTATTTCCAAATGCACAAAAGAAAATGCAAATTGTTATTCTCCAAAACATTTGAGATCCTGCTTCAGCAATTGTTGTCACTTTTGGCACAAATATACTCATAAAAGTTTTCTACAGGATGTTCCTTACTTAGACAATGGCTTCCATGTACTCAGGATGAAGACCCCATTCCCAGCTAAGCCTGCCCTCCCTGCAGGACCCAGCCAGAGCCTGTCTCTTCAGCTTATCTCTCCTCTCCCTTGGGGACGCTGGGCTCCAGCCCAGAGGCTGGCCTTCAGCTCCTCCAAAGCGCTCTGGCCCTCGGGAACCTCCTCCCCGCCTCCCCTAGGCAACAGAACTTCTTCAGGGCCTTCCTCTCTCCCTCCCTGCCCTCTGGCCTCGCATCTTGTACCTGGCCTTTGCAGCAGCTGTCACAATCATAATTAATTAATTGTAAAAAGTTTGGCTTCTCAACTAGAATGTGAACTCCAAAAGTTAGGAATCAAGTCTATTTTGTTTATCTGATCTTCTGTCCCTGGAATAAGGCATGGCTCAAGATTTTTAGACTGTGTGACCGGGTCCCTTGCTGGGAATCCGACTTTTGGACAAAGACCTGAAGGAAGGGAGGCGGGGAAATGTGGTTATCTGGGCAAAGACATTTCCCGCAGACAGAGCAGCAAGTGCGGAGGCCCTGAGGTGGAGGCTGCCAGTTCAGGCGGCAAAGAAGCTGCAGGACTGCACTGGAGGGCCCGGGAGGCAGAATGTGGTCTTTTACGCTGGGCTATGATCGGTGGAATCCTTTACAGGAGACGCTTCTAACCAGCATCTATTCCAAAACCATGGGCTTCAAATAATTTTTAAAGCAGTAGAACCCTTTCTTTAAGTGAAACATGAAATGGAAGTTCCAGATAGGAAGCAGGGGAGGGGCTCGCTCCTCACCACTTTCACACCACACTGCTTCCAAGCAGCGCTGTAGAGGGAGGTCTGCCCCCACGGCCAGGCTTCCCTGCTCAGAGTCTGCTGTCCCACAGCGCCTGCCTCAGAGGCCGTCTGCCCGGCTCCTGTCACTACAAGGAGACTTTCAGTGGGTGCGAATGAAGCTAGAGCCTCTACAGTTACAACCACATGGCGATGTGTGGGTCTGATATGTTCCTAGAAATTAGTTCTCTGTACTGGAACTTCTCTTTTTCCCCTTAAAGCAGCGGTTCTCAACCTGTGGGTCTCGACCCCTTTGGCGGTCGAATGACCCTTTCACAGGGGTCGCCTAAGACCATCCTGCATATCAGACATTTACATGACGATTCATAACAGTAGCAACATTACAGTTATGAAGTAGCAACGAAAATAATTTTATGGTTGGGTCACAACATGAGGAACTGTATTTAAAGGGCCAGAAGGTTGAGGACCACTGCCTTAAAGCATGTTTAAAACTATGTATTTTTTTAAAAAAGGTAAAACAGCTTAAGATACACACACACAAAACAAAAAACAACAATACTAAAAAAGTCAGTCTCCTATGGGTGACAACTAAATTATGTTGTATTTGTAGTGGAATTCTACACACTTAAGCAAGTAAACAAAAATGAACTACTGATATAGGGAACAATATGGATAAATGTCACAATTATTATGTTGAGAAAAAGGTGCCAGACAAACAAATGAGTACCCACCATAAACCCAGGTATATGACAATCACAAACAGGCAGAGCTAGTCTTTGGTAACAGAAGTTGAAATAGTGGTTACCTGCAGCGAAGGGATGAAAGGATGACAATATTCTATATCTTGATCTGGATGGTGGATACAAAGGTTTAGTATCTATCTATCTATCATCTATCTATCTATCTTTCTATCTATTCATTCACAGGGCTGCAAAATGATTTGTGCATTTTTCTCTACACTAATAATAATGATAGTAACAGTGATAAGGTAAGTCTCCTTCCCACCACCTGTGCTCCCAGCTGCACAGTTCTCCTCCCCAGAGGCCACTTCTGCAGCTGGGACTGTTTTTACCACCCGCTTTCTCTCAGCACCTTCACACCAGGGTTGGAGTCCTGGAAGCATGCCAGGCTGACACCAGAGGTCAAGGCTGTGGGCACAGGGCCATGGCTTGTGTGCATGCCCTCGTGGCTTTCTCTGTCCCCTTGGGCCCTCTGCCCCATGCCTCCCTCCCCCCCGCGGACTCTGAGAGAGTGCCTGGGGGCGCTGACCCTTGTGCACCGTGCTGCCCCTCCTGGGTGTGCCTCGTAGAAAGGACCGCATGTGCTGATCAAGCTTCGAGCTGACACATTCCTTCCCTCTTTCGTTCTCGGGTTTCTGATCCCTGGACTAACCTAGGACTTCCTGCTCCCTGGCCACTCAGCCTCAGTGTGTCCCTCCACACTCTTCTCCCCACCTCCAGCCTCTCTAGCAGCATTCTTTGACTCCGTCCTTCCCTCACCAGACTTCAGCCCAGCCACGCCTTTATCTTATCACCTGGGATCCTTGCCTCCCAGGACTACCTAGTGCCTGAGGGCAGAGGGGCCCGAGTCAGTTCGAGTCAATTTGGCAGAAAGCCTTAGCGCGGGTAGAAAGCGGTGGGTGCCGCACGTCCACGGTGGGGGGTGGTGCACACCCAGACCAGCTAGGATAGCTCTCACCCAGTGTTTTGTACGGTCCTTCCCACGTGTCAGGCACTGACCTGCGTGCTTATGGTGCACAGGTCTCTGAATTTCCCAGACAATCCTAGGAGGAGGGTGACGAGCCTCATGCTGGAGATGAAGCGCTGAGGCCGCAGGTTTGACTGCTGGCACGTGGCTGCCAGGATTCCAGCAGCTGCTTCCCGAGGGAAACGCCCTATTGAGGTCTGGGCGGCTGCAGGGGGAGTCGGTGCGCAGCGGCGCGCCCAGCCCGGGGAGCGGTCCTCGTGCCACACCCTTTCTGCAGTTCCCCCGGCGCCAGCGGCCGGCGGGGCTGAGGGCTGGCGGTGGGCTGGGAGCAGACACAAAGCTCTGCGTGCCGAGGCGCCCGAGGGCGCGGGCGAACCCAGGCAGAGGCCCGTCGGCTCCGGGCTCTGCCAGCCTCCAGGCGTGGCTAGCGGCGCGGCTGCTGCCAGCCTCAGCGCGGAGCTACTTCCCCAAGCCGCGGTCGGGCTGCGGGCCCGAGGACTCGGCGGTCGCGCGGGGGTCCTAGCCCGCCGCGGGCTCCCGGCGCGGCCACAGGCGCCCCGCGGGGCACGCCCGCTCCGCCGCGGGGCCGCGGGGCCGCGGAGCCGCCAGCAGGCACGCGCGCCACCAGCGCGCACGGCAGCGCACGCACCCCGCCGGCCGGCCCACATCCGCCCGCCCCGCGCCCCGCCCCGCGGCGCAGGCCGTGGCCTCCCATTGGCTGCACGAGGCGTGACGCGCGGCGCCCGGCCCCGCCCCTCGTCAGTCACTCGGCGGAGGCGGCGCTGGCGGGGACTAGTCTCGGCCGGAGACTGGCGGCGGCGGCGGCGGCGGCGGCGGCAGCGGCTGGAGCTCGAGCCGCGGCGGCTGAGGGCGGGTGCGCGCGGGGGAGGGAGGGGGGTCGGTCCGCGACGACTCCCCGGACGGCGTTTCTCCTCCGAGGCGCGCCGGTTTCGGCTTTGGGGGGACGGCGGTCCAGCCCATCCATGACCATGGGCGACAAGAAGAGCCCGACCAGGTACCTGCTCGGAGCCGGGGCGGAAGGGGAGGGAGGACGGGGCGGGCGGGGGCCGGCGGCTAGGCCCGGAGCCCCCGGGCGGGGGAGGCGCCGCTAAGATGGAGATCGGGGGCGGGGGCGGCGTCGCTGCGCTCGGGCCGGCGGCCGTGCGCGCCGCAGCCATGGCGGCTCCTCCCGGGCCTCCGCCGCCGCTCCGCCCAGACAAAGGGAGATTTAACCAGGTGGGCGGGAGGCGGCGGGCCGGCGGGAGGGGAGGGGAGGGGGCGGCCCGGCCCCGCCGCCGTCGCGGGCGGCTCTGCACGCCCCGGGTCCGGCCGCCGCTTCTCCCGGCCTCCCGCCTCCGGCCCCGCGCTCGGGTCGCCGAGTCCGCCCGCTTCCTGCGCGGCCCAGCTCCGGAGCCGCCCGCCGTGGGAGGCCACGCGGCCCGGAGGTGGCAGGGCGCTGGTGGGGGCCGGGTCCCTCTTCTGGTTCCGGAAAAGGATGGGTGGGTGGTCGCCAGAGCGAAGTTTCCAGCCCAGGATTCCTGCTAAATTACCACGGCTCACCAGCGCCTGTGATGTGCTGTCTCCCCTTCCTGCCCCGTCCCTTCCCTCCCCTCCTCGCCCCTCTCCCCGCTCCCCTCGCCCCGCTCCCCGCTCCTCTGCAGGCCGAAGAGACAAGCGAAACCTGCCGCAGACGAAGGCTTTTGGGATTGTAGCGTCTGCACCTTCAGAAACAGCGCGGAAGCCTTTAAATGCAGCATCTGTGATGTGAGGAAAGGCACCTCCACCAGGTACTTGAACTGTTACCTTTTGTGAAAGGACTTTTTTGTTTTTAATGTGGAGGAGAGGGCAGTGAGCTGTTCGTTTTGCTCTCTTTCCAACTTGTTGATTACGGCTTCTACCATTGGTGGTGGGTGATGCGTGGTTTTGGTTGTATTTCGTTTTGGCTGCAAAGCCTCATGTTGAATAAATGATCTCTGGTTTTTGTCTTATTTCAAACAGACACTGAATTTACTTTATCCTTGTATCCATTGGCTCATTGGTATTGGCGCCCTAAAGAGAGGAAGCAATACTTTGCTGTGGATTGATTGTAGGGCAGAAGAGCTTTTATTTTTGGCTTGCGGAGAATGTTTTTAATTGGCCGGTCTTGAACTATTTTTCCCTTTGAGACATTTAGTGGTGGTTATACAGTAACGCTGGTTGTGCTTTTCCTGTCTTGAGCAGCAAATGTTTGTTGTTTTCTTGCACTTGAAAATAAAGATTGAGCTTTGATAAAGAAAGTGCATTTTTTGGAAAGCCTAGCTGTCCGTTTGGTGTGTTTTTGCCTGATCTTGGCGCAGAGCGCTGATGGAAGACGATTTTGCAAAATGGTGAAATGAATTGTGTGACTATATTGAAGTTTGCGTTTAAAACTTGATGATAACGGAAAGTGCTGAAAAGATTTCTTTTTATTTTGGTGAAGGTAGTAAACTGCATCTGGTGTCACGTGTAGAGGCACTGGAGTGAGAGGCCAGCGCTGATGTTCGAGTCTTCCAGACTTCTGACTTCCATCTTGAGTTTCTTTCACTGATGGTATAGTTTGAGGTTAAACTATTCTTGATGTCATAGAATGTGCAGACATTGGAATATGTGTGTGAAAGCGAGACAGAATGCGTGCGTTTTGGTAAGTCCTTGAAGGCTTAGCTTGGATTGCCAGAAGCCTCGTTTCATCAGGTACTTGTTTTGAGTTGGTGGTATTCCAGTGTGACTGTAGTAGTACTCCATAGTTTTAACTGGATGTTTTTCTTTCACTAACTCAGTGTGTCTATTAGGATATCATTGCTTTATTTATATGTGGAATTAAATAGGATATTGGGCAGGCTAAAGAATATAACAGATTGCCCTAGCTGGCTTGGCTCAGTGGATAGAGCATCAGCCTGCGGACTGAAGGGTCCCAGGTTCGATTCCGGCCAAGGGCACATGCCTGGGTTGCGGCTCGTTCCCCAGTAGGGGGTGTGCAGGAGGCAGCCAATCAATGATTCTCTCATTGATGTTTCTATCTCTCCTTCTCCCTTCCTCTCTGAAATCAATAAAGAAATATATATATATATATATATATATATATATATATATAAAAGAATATAACAAATGAATTGGTCCTATTACTGATGGAACAGTTCTGTGAATTCCACTATCTCTTTTAGAAATGAGACCTTTGAATAAAAATACTCAAGTGAAGATATTTCATCATAAGTAGTTTTTAAAGTAAATTCATGTCAATTTTTTTGTATTATAGAATAGATTAATTTAAAGTAAAAACACTCATTGTGAGTTTAATAGGTTTTTCTCTTTTTTGCTGTTGTTGTTAATCCTCACCAAGGATACTTTTCCATTGATTTTTAAAGAGAGTGGAAGGGAGGGGGAGAGACAGAAATATTGATGTGAGAAAGACACATTGGTTGTCTTCAGCACGCGCGCACCCACCCAGAATCGAACCTGCCCTTGACAGATCTGAACCCAGAACCCTTCAGTCCATTCTGAGGGCCAATGCTCTATTCACTAAGCCGGACCAGGGAGGGCTAGATTTTGTTTTGCTATCCAAAACAGGGAATTTGATCAAGTGGCGTGGAAGTTTAGAAATGTATGTGCTATTTAAAGCAATTGTGATGGTATTTATGAGTACTCTTTTTTACACGTAGATTCCCTCAGAGGCCAGACCTCTTTATTGTGGTTTTGTTTTGATTTACCGTAGGTGATGTTCAAGTAAGTGACTAGGAAACTCATAAGAACTTGAGAACTTTACTGGTGAAAAGAAACTTATTACCAGATTCAAAAGTTTGCATATGATATATTGCTGGGAACACTTACCTCAATAATGAAAAGCATTTCAGTTTCTATATGTATTAAAAATCTGACTCAACAACTTTTTGGAAGCACATGGAAGATTTTGATTTTAAAAACAATATGGAAAAAAATATGGATGTTTAAAGTTTTTTTCAGAGTCACAGATGACAGTGAAATTCAGTTTTTAAGTAAACATTAATTATTAATTAAAATATTTTAGGGTCTATTTAGGAATAGGATACTCACCTAGTATCTTTAAGGATCTTTGTATAATTTTTTTATTGAGTAGGCTTTGAACAGAGCCTTCAGAGATCTGAGGACTTAATGTCTTATCAGCTCATGATAGATATTCTTACATACCCTAAATTTGATTCATTTTGGTTATTTGCCAGTATTTTGGTGTTTTAGAGCTAGTCTAGAAGTCATCACTAATGGAAGGCAAATAATATTTGTACTTCAAGTGGAAAGGTAAATTTCACAGGTTTTGATCTTATCCTATGTAGCATATTGATTAATTTTTCTGATCCTAGATCAGTGATGGCGAACCCTTTGAGCTCAGCGTGTCAGCATTTTGAAAAACCCTAAAACTCTGGTGCCGTGTCACATATAGAAATTTTTTGATATTTGCAACCATAGTAAAACAAAGACTTATTTTTTTGATATTTATTTTATATATTTAAATGCCATTTAACAAAGAAAAATCAACCAAAAAAATGAGTTTGCGTGTCACCTCTGACACACGTGTCATGGTTCGCCATCACTGTCCTAGATACTTCATGTTTTTTTTCCTGGGACTTTTCCTTGTAATTTTCTCTGTACTTCAAAGGTTTGACATTTTCTGCCTTGCATAATGTTTTAGTCAGACTTGGTAGTGATGGTAGTAGAAAACCTGTTGCTCGGTTTTTGGATGCTGGGTAATATGCAAAAATTTGTAACTTTTAAATAATGTTTCTAACCTGTTAGTTTTTCTAACCTGTTGACTGGCATAGAAATTGGGTTTTGTGTTCTGAGCTAGTGTTTGGTTTCAGAACAGCAGCTGGTTGGCTAGCCCAAGGTGATTTTTGAGCTAGTTCATCCTCCTTGTCATTGTTGCCATCATTTACCAGTCAACCAAGAAGTTAGCTTTGAATTAGTGGTAGTCCAGTAGGACTCAGAACTGTATTTATCCTCTGAGAATAGAATTGATATTCCTCAATTTGGTTAGGAAAATATTGCCCCTTATCTAGAGAACATTTTATATTCTCAGGATGTGAAAGATACTGCTCAAGACATTGGGGAGAGGGGGAGGGCATTAAAAGTTGGTAAGATGGGTACCAGAATGACCACACTCCAAGGTCTGAAGGCTCTAAGAGAGGTATAAAAAGCGATGGGAGGTTGGAGCAGTCTGGCTTGGGAATCAGTTAGGAGGAGTCCCCCTCCCTTTACTTCTTCAGAACAGGAGAATTGATTTCTACAAAATTACCTGCCTACTCTTCACTGTTACTGCCATATATACCAAATATGTTTAATTCTGCAGGTGGAGTCATGAAAGTGATTCAGAAGGTATTTTATTCTTCCTTTTTGGAGCAGCATAGAGCAGAATGAAAGGAAGGTTAGAAACTCCTAAGGAATATGTTAAGGGGAGAAGGAGGGAATATACTTAGATTACTTGGAGGTTCAGGGAGGAGTAGAGATCTTACATTTTTGGATGTATTGTGTGAAGCTTTGCTGACGTTATGTGTTGGGTCTCTAACTCTTGCTGGTTATTTTTTTATCGCTTTATTGGGGTATAATATACATACCATAAAATTCACCAACTGTAATGATTTTTAGTAATTTTGAGGAGTGTGGGACCCTCCCTGCAAACCAGGTTAGAACATCTCCATCCTGTGGTCTCCCCGCCTGTTGTGTGACTCACTTTTAAGTCTTGACCCTGGCACTGAGGAGCTACCTGCAGTGGGGAAGGCGGCCTCTCCACCCGCCCTGCTGACACTCTCAGCCTTTCCAGCTGAAGATGTGTATGTAAGGCGATGGTGGGTGGGGAAGAAACACTTCCTTCCTGGGTAATAGCTAGTATTTCCTAGCCCACTTGGCCAGTTTCATGAAAAGAGAGGATACCAGCTTTGAAAAGGAAAAACAAAAACAAAAACCCACAAATTCGCACATTTATCTAATCATTAAATTGAAGTTCTTGAGTGTTGGGCAGAGTAAGTATATTTTACTTTTAGTCTTGTTGTTTTTGTGAATGCAGTGATGTCTTTATTGTAAAGTAAAAATTACCAAGACGGGTTGTAAGTCTTGCTGATGAATGGTTCTTTACTTGCAGCTACTGCTTAAATCACACTCACTTGAAAAATTGGAAATTTTTTGCATTGCATAATTACCAGAGATTTAGAACTTTATTGGTCTTCAACTCCAGATTTTATCACCATGTTGAGTTAAAAATCATGTTTTATTTAATCTGTGTTTATTTTAATGCTACCCCTCTGAAAATGGTAGTTTCTAGAGATTTTCAGACAAGCAAATGTGAGGAATTGACTTCAGATGTGTGATACGATTGTGGAGCTTAATAAAAAGCTGATAGGGTATTGAATTGGAAGTTGGTATTCAGTTGTTTTGTGAGTAAAATGTTTCCCTTGTTCCCTGATTCTTTGCAGTTGTAACTGGACTTATTCTCCCATTAAACTCCGACACACTGACAACTCAAAATCTCTTCAGTAGTCATGAAGGACTTTAGAAGGTATAGGGGGTCACATACATAATTAGTGATAATGTCAACATTTTCATCTTTGTTGAAGCCTCAAAAGTGCATCATCCTGTAATACTTTTCACAGAGGAGAACGCCAAGAAAGCAGGAGTGGGTGCTTAATCTGGAGCAGGGGCAAGCCTCTTTTCCAGGGGGCTCAGTCGCCCACCACTGGGCTTTTGTTCTTTAGGTCACATTGATTTTATTATAGTGTTTGTCTTTCATAAAATTTCTCCAAAAAAT